ATTTTTGTAGACCATATCAGCCAACATGCTAATCAGACACTTTTTACTTTTTTTCATGACCATCACCAACTACCATACAAGTTACCTTATGATCATGGTGAAGCCTTATTTTGGATAGACATCTTAGGAAACAAAACAAAACAACTTCATAGAAAATGAATAGTCATGAACTAAACTTTGTTGTCCTGATCATCAAACAAAAATTGATTCAAAACATTACAGACATTGACAGTTAAAAAAAAAAAAGCCATACTACTTGAGATATATAAAAGACCTCAATAAAGAGAAACATGTGAGTGAAAACATTTCCTGTTCAAAGAATTTCATTCCCTAGACATAAAAGGCCCTCTAATTTTCTCCAAATGAATGCCAGTTCTAGTATATTTTATGAGTACCTTCATTGCTGTTAGATTCTGAAATATAATAAAATGACCCTAATATGGGATTCCTCAAAACATTTACTAGACTCTCCAGGAAGCTGTATCAACCCCAAATTGGAAGTACTCCAAGATTTTTGCTTAGTAACTCTTGGGGGAGATTTGTTTAAAAGAATTTCATCTGAATAAGTAAATCCATCTCATTTTTAATGATTATTTGAAACAACATTCTTTCACATCAGTGCCTTCGCCTCTTGAACCCATGTTAGTCATTCTCTGAAGATGAATTGGGTTCTAGCAACTTCTTTGAACACCTGGGAAGAGTAAGCCTTGGCTCCTTGCCATTGTTACAGATGCATTTATCTTCTGTCCACCTAATTAATGAGTCCTTATGCAGAGATCCCAATGTGATATAAGGTGTTAAATGACTGTGGACCACCCTGTGTGAAATAATGTCTACAATAATCACCATGAGGCACAGCATGCAAGTAAAACAGAAAAAAAAAAAAATGTTTCACCAAAGAAGCTGTCATCTTAAATTAATATAATGTAAAATGGCAGAGCACAGATGTTTTGGTGTCTTATTTATAATTAAACCCATGAATATAACACTGGGTCCTGGTGTTCATGTTGTGGCAGTGACTTCAACCCAAGGGGGAGAGAGTGCTTGGATAGCATGTTCAGAATCAAAAGTACTTATCACTCTCCTTTCTGTAACTAGGAAGAACTGTTCAAGACTTGATTATGGATTCCTTTACTCCTGCTGCCGGGGACAGGTAGCTTCACTTATACCACAGAACAGGCTTGGGCTTTTTCCTCCCTTTCTTACCCTCCCCTCCCCCCCATCACTTTGCTCCAAAACCATAGATAAGACAATGAGGAGAGAACTTGTTTCCACTAGAAGGTAAAAGAAAAAAAATGTTTAGAATGGAATTATTTGTCAGTAGGTTAGTTATGTCTAGATGGCACTTAGAACTAAATATTAAAAACTGCCCAACAGCATCACATGTAAATTTCTATCTATTGGAACTTCTGTAAGGTTCACCCATTTAAGCTTGACTTGAGACCATCCTAAATATCTCCCAGTCTTATCTCCAGAATGGTAAACTACTACCTGTTATCCTGTATAAATAATCATATGTTCAATCTTAGAGTTCTTGGTTTCTCCTTCCTTGTCATTGAATCTTACTATATATAACTCCAATTCCCCAGCAATGCTTTGACTTTAACCATTTTGTTTTGAACTTGCTGACCTTCACACCTTTCCAGGATACAATCAACAAAAGGTAAGAGATAGCCCCCTGCAGCCATGAATAGGCATCACTCAGATCTCCTATTGTGGGCACAATCTCCCGTTGTAGGACCACAGCTACTAAGGTCTGAATCAACCACCAAGTTCACAGAGAGGCCACACTTCCTATAGGCTAACCTGCAACACCTGAGCCTGGCAAGGATACTGAGGTAGGCTCATTTGTATGAGTTATAGAATACATTTCCATGGGGATGCCTGGGTGGCTCAGTAAGTTGTCTGCCTTCAGCTCAGGTCATGATCCCACAGTCCTGGGATCAAGTCCTACATCAGGTTCCTTGCTCGGTGGGGAGCCTGCTTCTCCCTTTGCCTGCCGCTCCCCCTGCTTGTGCTCCCTCCTTCTCTCTCTCTCTCTCCCTCTCTCTAACAAATAAATAAATAAATAAAACCTTAAAAAAAAAAAGAATACATTTCTATGAAGGTAAAGGGCAACAGACAGTGTTTGATCTCTATAGGAAATCAGTAAAAGGTCAAAATTAAATATTGTGTTTCTCCTTAGGTTCTGTTAGGCAATTAAGGAATTAAATAACTACTTTTCGGGCACCTGGGTGGCTCAGTCGTTAAGCGTCTGCCTTCAGCTCGGGTCATGATCCCAGGGTCCTGGGATGGAGTCCCACATCGGGCTCCCTGTTCGGCCGGAAGCCTGCTTCTCCCTCTTCCACTCCCCCTTCTTGTGTTCCTGTTCTCGCTATCTCTCTGTCAAATAAATAAATAAAATCTTTAAAAAAATAAAAAATAATAAATAAATAGTTACTTTGAGTAGTGTGAAAAAATCAATTTTTCAAGAGAGACTCACCTATTTCCTGTTTAGAATTATTTATATTTGTATATTCAGCACCTGATACCTTTCTAAGAAAAGATCAGTACCCAATAAATGTTTTTTTAACAAATGATAGTTCATTGAATTAACTGATAACAAATTTTTAATCATCCACTTTCAGTGAAAAACATCATTGTGTATATCAGATCAAATTTTATGTAGAAAATCAGGGGATCAGTGTTTGATTTTTAAAATAAATGTATGTTGAAAAAATAGATAAAAATAAATTTATAGAAGAAATAATAACATTAAATAAGCACATAAGATTCTCACGGTTGTTTTTTTTTTTTAAGATTTTTTATTTATTTATTTTGAGAGAGAGAGAGAGAGAGCATGAGTGGGGAAGGGACAGAAGGAAAGGGAGAGAGAATCTCAAGCAGACTCCACGCTAAGCATGGAGCCTGACATGGGGCTCGACTCATGACCATGAAATCATGACCTGAGCTGAAATCAAGAGTTGGACCCTTCCCTGACTGAGCGACCCAGGCACCCCAAAAAGATCCTCAGTTTTAATAACAATATGAGAAATACACATACATTTATAAAAGATATATTTGAGATATTTCTCACCTATCTGATTAGCAAAAGTGAAAAATGATCAATGCACAGTGATTAGGAAGATATGTAGAAGTAGACCACATTATACATTTCTGAAGTCGTACAATCTTTTTAGGGGAGTAATTTGACAATACCAAAATTTCAAATATACTTTCCTTTAAATATACAGCAACTCAAAATAAAAATATATATGACTTAAGTTGTCACTGCTATTAATGAAATACTTTCTATATTAGTCATAAAATAAAACACAATACATCCTGTTGAAAAATTAGGAAGATATTCATATACTGATAAAGAAAATATATACTGATAAAGTATATAAATATCTTCTTAATTAAAAAATGGTTATTTATGTGTGTGTGCATGTGCAGATACATGTGTATGTTTAGCTTTGGTTTCTCAAAAGATTTGGGGAGCCATTACTTATAGCATGATCTCATTTGGTTTTAAAATGATAATAGATATACTTGTGTGCTAATAAAAAAGTCAGGAAAGATATGAATCACATTATTAATAGTGATGTACTTTAGAGAAGATTATTGGGGATTTTTACCTTGTCTGTTATAAGATTCTGTATCATTAGAATGTTTTGGTAATAAGCATGAGTCACTTTTATAATAAGGAAAGTAAAACAATTATTTCTAAATTCATTAAAATTATGTATTATTATTTTATATTATAATATCATTCTCTATACATTTATACTTTTATAATTATACTTTTATAATTCTGATTATACTTATTATATTATACTTATGTTTGTAGTATTCATTCCATTCTGTGAGCTAATTCTCTTATTTTATTTGAATAATTTTTGGCTCTGTCATTGAGCAGAAAATGCACATCAATAATTTCAGCTCATAAAAAGTTGTTGACTCACAATCCAATCATGTCATGCTTGGCTAATATATATCCACATATTGATAATATAGTGTGTGTATGTCTGTGTGCACATACGTATATGCATATGATTCAAATATTTTCAACTGTTTCATATATAACAGACAGGGGGCTTCCCAAGGACACAAAAATATTCTAAAAATTGCTGCTGCATGCTTTTATGTTCTTTTTAAGTACTGCCTTGTCATGGTGAAATAAAAATTTACTACCACTCTGTCTAGAGTTCACCCAGCCTCTGAGCATAGAGTCAAGGGATCTATTGAAACAGTCCTTCCCTAGGGTCAATTTCAATCTTTGCTTTCCTTTTAATGATTAAGACAATTTCATTGCCACCTATGCTTCTAATTTACACAGGGGTACCTCAGAAGACCTCAAGGGCCAATCATCCAGTCCGAAGGCAGAGATAAATGATCTATTGAATTTTCTTGAAGAGTTCTAAGGCAGAAACTGACAGACTGAGGGAGTTGCAGAGCTATTAGGTCCTTTCACAGAGAAAGTCCTATATTTTTTTGCATGTCTCCCTTTTCCCTCCACAAAAATGATGATTCATACATAATTGAAGGAATGTCATTTCAACACTATGGCTAGAATTTTGAAAATGTCAAAACAGATTGTATATTTTCAGTAGACTACTAATTATTTTTTAAAATTTCTGGGTGTGGGGGGAGGAAAGAGAAATTTGGCTTTTCCATTCATGAGTGTTCTTGAAAAGAACAACTCTCTATTTACTATACCAGATGGAGGAGTAGCAGTACACTGAAATCGCTGGCAAAGAGGGAAGAAGAATATTGTAAATCATTCCAAAGTGGAGGCACATGGGGGGAATCCTTGGGGAATTAGCCAAGACCTTGTTATGGAAGAAAGTGGATACAGGACTATTTATAAGTTGTTTTTATTCAGTAGATAAAAAGAAAGGCAGATATACAAAGACAAAAAGAAATGTGTAAAAGATTAATATTATGAGGAACTATACAAACTGCACTGTGTCCTTTTAATAGTTATGAAACCTAGACAAAAAGTATATACATTTGAAAATACCTGTGTTGAAACTGAATTCATATTGCCATACTCCTTACTAATGCAAAAATACAGTGAATTCCTCTTCACAAAGACTACAACAGTTTATTGACAGCATCACAAGGAAAGTGGCTTGCTATGTATTCTGGGATAAAGGTATGTTTGCCTTAGTTTATCTTCAAACTGACCTCTTTTTAAAATGATAATATATTTTTTAATCACTGGCCAATAAGATATTTCCAAATAATTGTCTATACTGTATCATGAGAGACAATAATAAACATAGCCACTAATATCAGCTAATGTAGCTAAAAGTAACCTGAGAAAATAATAAGCATTAGAACAGGAAAAAAAAATCGGTAATGTCAAAATTTTCATTTTGGAATGAGCTATCTGAAGCTCAAAAAACTAAGGAATTTGCCTGAGTTCACATAGCTAATAAAAAATAGATCTGGAGATTAAATCTATACCTGTTTGATTCTAATGCCTATGTGTTTTATAACTGTGGTACTTTGCCTTTCCCATGGAACTGTTAAAATTTATTTTTTTCTGGAATGTTGCAAAAGTGCTTTCTACATTGTAAGAGAGTGAAATTCCATTACCATTTATGTCCTGTCATACTTTGGACATTTTAAAATTAGTTTCTCTAATGTTACTTAAAATATGTACTTATTTATCTTCCACTTTGCACCAAAATGGGTTTAAATCAACTTAAAATATAAAAGCAACTAAAATTAAAATGGCAAGGTCTGTCTTAAGTGAACTTTACTCTTTTATTTCTTGGTAAAGTTTATCCTAGGTAATAAAGAACTTAGAATTTGTTTACAGACTACTCTATTCAATGATTGCTGGGCTCACTATGTATTAAATGAAGAATTCACTAAATATAAACTAATCACCTGAAAACACTGATCATAATTAAATGTTGCTGAAATAAGGAGATAAGTTTCCCAGTCTACATAAGAGATGTTGAATTTTCTACCCCTAATTTTCTCATATCCTTCATCAATTTTATGGAATCTTACTCTTACTCCCTCCTAGCAATTTCTTTATCTTTTACACTTTATATTTATCTGCTAATTTTTCTAATTTCTCTAATCATTACAAGCAAATTTTTCTCTACATCATGAACATAGCTATAACAGCTGCTTTAAAATCTCTCTCTATGAATTCAAAAATCTTGTATTTTGACGTTAATTTCCGCTGAAGTTCAAATTTTGTATTGTCCCCTAGACATTGTGAATATTATGTTGTGAAAATTCTACATTCTATTATATTCCCTGAAGAGTGTTGATTTTTGTAGTTCTTTTAGCAGTCAATTAACTTGGTTGGAATCAAATTGCAAACTCTCTCTTGGATGGCAGCTCAAATCTCAGTTCAGTGTTTTCACTCTTGCCCCAGGTTACTTGAAATCTACCCCCACAAATGCATGGTTCAAGAACCAGACAGAAATGTGAGTGTATTTTCTACACAGAATTTAAATTTTACTAGTGTGGGGTAAAAATAAACTGTTTTATTTTAATGTACACATTATAATGGCTCTCAATCCCCAACTAGTCACCAGGGAGTTTATTGCTTCACTCAGGTTGATCTTTCCTGGGTATTGTGCATTTAGAAGGTATCTTTGCAATATTTGTGAACTCCATCCAGTGAATTCAATTCTCGTACTATTATTGCTTCTTTTCTCTCTATTACTCATCTCTATGAGAGACCCTTTAATTATTTTTATTGTTTTTTTAAATTTTATTTTATTATGTTATGATAATCACCATACATTACATCATTAGTTTTTGATACAGTGTTCCATGATTCATTGTTTGCATATAACACCCAGTGCTCCATTCAGTACATGCCTTCTTTAATACCCATCACCAGGCTAGCCCCTCCCCCAACCCCCCTCCCCTCTAGAACCCTCAGTTTATTTCCCAGAGTCCATAGTTTTTCATGGTTCGTCTCCCCCTCTGATTCCACGCCCTTCATTTTTCCTTTCCTACTATCTTTTTTTTCTTTTTTTTAAGATATAATGTATTATTCGTTTCAGAGGTACAGATCTGTGATTCATCAGTCTTACACAATTCACAGTGCTCACCATAGCACATACCCTCCCCAATGTCTATCACCCAGCCACCCCACCCTTCCCACCCCCCACCACTCCAGCAACCCTCAGTTTGTTTCCTGAGATTAAGAATTCCTCATATCAGTGAGATCATATGATACATGTCTTTCTCTGATTGACTTATTTCACTCAGCATGATACCCTCCAGTTCCATCCACGTTGTTGCAAATGGCAAGATTTCAGTTTTTTTGATGGCTGCATAATATCCCATTGTGTGTGTGTGTGTGTGTGTGTGTGTATCACATCTCTTTATCCATTCATCTATTGATGGACATCTTGGCTCTTTCCATAGTTTGGCTATTGTGGACATTGCTGCTATAAACATTGGGGTGCACATACCCCTTCAGATCACTACTTTTGTATCTTTGGGGTAAATACCCAGTAGTGCAATTGCTGGGTCGTAGGGTAGCTCTATTTTCAACTTTTTGAGGAACCTCCATTTTTACTGTTTTTTGAAAGTGTTTTTTTTTTTTTTCTTTCATTTGGAAGAGTGCTCCTTCATATCCCTACATTGATCTCCAGAAGCCTGTTCAAACCCTCAGACTTCTAATCTCCTTTTTACTTTTGTCATAGTCCGTTGTATAGAGAGGCCCATTGTAGCAAGCAGAGAGGCTGGCTCTTGTTTTTCTACTGTAAGAGGCTGTCTATTAAATAGAACATTCCCTCTAGATTTTATATTAGAAAGACTAGGTATATTTTTTCCACAGCCAGATGCTTCCTCTGTAAATAAAGGCAGAACCCCAAAGCAAGAATTAGGAACTGGAATCTGTTGTCTCATTCATATGCCTTCTGATAGACATGTTTTTCTCTTCCTATAAACAACATTATCACCCTGGAAGAACCACTGGTGCCATACTCCACCATATCAATTTGCCTTTACCATTTACTCATAACATTGAACAAAAAAGGTTTACATTGTGACTGAGCCAGACATATAAGACCAAAGTGTAAACTCATTTTCAAAAGGTGGGCTACTTTAACCATTCAGAAAAAGAAATAAACTATAGCAGATGTTTGTTTTTCCACTTACCCATGTATCATCATATGAAAATTAGCAGAACTCTGCCAAATGGCATAGATGGCATTTATGTATGTGTGTGTGTTTCCAGTCATTCATACACTCATATAGATTGATATATGTTTATATCATATATATCATATACTCTGTACTTAGTAACAGCATTTACAAAATCTTGTATCAGCGATTTATTCATCTACCCTGGGAGTAGTGTTAATTGCTCTATTATACTAATGGTTTATATATATCCCAACCTTCAAATGAGCTTCGTTTAAAGTTGGCAATGCTAGTTTACACCTGCAAAAAGGTGAGTATTTTTATCCTAGCTTGGGAATAGAGGAGGCTGTTTCTCATCACTTGGCATATGCCTAAAGAATAATATTTTTGTTTGCTTTGCTTATTATGCAAAGCCACAAGGCAGACTTTATATTAAAAGAAATTTGCTAAAGAACTTTGGGGAAAAATCGTGGCTCTCGCAAAGTAACCACATGTTGGACAGGTGTTTATTTAAAACATTTGTTTGAATACATATGAGGCAGAGTGAATAGGATTACAGATGTTTCCTGCTTGTAAGTTCATCATTCCATTATTTAGATAGTATTTTCTAACCTGAAAAATACAATAATTTTTGCCTTTATCAAGTATTTTATTTTGTTTTCTCTATTATCTATCATCTATATCTATCTATCTTTCATCTATCTCTTTATTTTAGAATGAGGCAATTTATGAACCCAGCATTTGTTCTAATGCTTCTTGTTGGCATTCGCCACCCATCCAGCAATTCTGTCCAGATTTCTGGCCCTCAGATGTCAGTTTCCCACCCCCATCTCGGTCCTCTTCTGCCATTTTCAGCGCCTCTAGGGCTTGGAGGACCATGCAGACCACACTTTTGGAGCCTCTGCTGAAATGGCTAGGCCTGACCCTGTTTCTCTGACATCCCGCATAAATCTTAGTTGTGCAGCTGACCCCAGTGCCACCTCAGAGGTACAGGCGCCCTGCTGTGGAAGCCGCTCCTTTGTAGAACTAGATTTCATTGTAGGCCAGCCTGACAGCGTCTACCCATTCAGGGACTTCCAGCTCCCCGAACTTTTTGAGGAAGGCTGCCAGAACTCTGAGGAACTCCTGCTGGTTCATGTCTTTTACAGTAACTCCAGGCATCACGTGGCTTCGGCACTGCCAGCCAGGGGAAAGGCCAAGCTGTCTCATTAATGGAGACTATATTTTCTTGCTTTGTGTAACATGCATAGACAGCATTCAGCTATGTATAAGTAATCTCACTCTCACACTTAGTTTATTTGGATACCATTAGATTAAATGATTTAGAGATATGTGGGGTAATCTAATTCTAGCACACAAAGTGTGACAGCTGAAGCATTATCTAGTAGCAATCTCCACTGATCTAAGATGAAGCAGTATTAATGATGTGGAAGGCTTTGAACCATCCCATGACTTTCAATGTGATGTTTTTATTTCCCACCTCAACACCAAGGTCATCTTAAAGCTCCCCATCAAAATGTAAGCTCCTTGATGGCAGGGGCCTTGCCCATCTTATTCATGTCTATATGCAAAGTCCTTAGGATGCTACCTGGTTCAATACATACCTGTTTAATAAATGAGTGAGTGCGTAAAAAAGAAAATCTAAATATTTATCTAGAATTTCAAAGAGTATGTGTGTGCATGAATATGTGCATGCACCTGTGTGTTTAAAAGAGAGAAAGAGAGACAAAGAGTAACAGTATTCACTGAGATTCCATTTTTTAACATTAAAAACTATTCTGTCCACAAAGGTTCAGTGAAATATTTTTTTAATATAAAATTATTGAGTTGATAATTTGGAATGATAAATTCTGATTGTGTTTCTTTGTTGAATAGTTGTATCTTCCCAGAGTTTGCATCAACACAGTGTTCATTGAACATCTGCTGTGTGCCCACTGGGACTCTGAGAGGAACTAGGGATATAAGGTGGAAAAGCTTATATGTTTATCTCATTATTTTCATAGTATGATAAATAAACGTTGTCTT